CCCAGCTACTTGGGAGGCTGAGGCAAAAGAATCGCCTAAGCCCAAGAGTAGGAGGTTGCTGTGAGCTGTGTGACACCACAGCACTCTACCAAGGGCGATAAAGACTCTGTCTCTACCAAAAAAAAAAAAAAAAATACATTTCCCTTGGCTCAGCGCCTATAGGCGCCACATATACCAAGGGTGGCGGGTTCAAACTGGCCAAACTGCAACGGAAAACAGCCAGGCACTGTGGTAGGTGCCCGTAGTCCCAGCTACTTGAGAGGCTGAGGCAAAAGAATCGCCTAAGCCCAGGCGTAGGAGGTTGCTGTGAGCTGTGTGACACCACAGCACTCTACCAAGGGCCATAAAGTGAGACTCTGTCTTTACAAAAAAAAAAATAATAATAATAATACATTTCCCTTGGCTCAGCACCTGTAGGTGCCAGCTACATACAGTACATACAGATGGTTCGAGTCCAACCCAGGCCTGCAAAACAATGACAATTGCAACCAAAAAATAGCCTGGCGTTATGGCAGGTGTCTGTAGTCCCAGCTACTTGGGAAGCTAAGGCAGGAGAATCACTTAAGCCCAGGAACTAGAGGTTGCTCTGAGCTGTGATGCCACAACACTCTACCCAGGGCTACAGCTTGAGGCTCTGTCTCAAAAAAAAAAAAAAAAAAAACATTTCCCTGGCTGGCACGGTAGCTCACACCTGTAATCCTAGCACTTTGGGAGCTGAGGCAGAGGAAGGACCGCTTGAGCTCAGTAGTTCCAGACCAGCCTGAACATAAGCAAGAGCAAGACCCCATCTCCACAAAAAATAGAAAAAATTAGCTGGGCACTGTGGCAGGGGCATGTAGTCCCAGCTACTTGGGAAGCTTAACAGCAGGAAGATTGCTTGAGTCCAAGAGTTTGTGGTTGCTCTGTTGCTAGCCTGGGCAACACAATAAGAGTCTGTTCCAAAAAATATATTTTATTTATTTATTTAAAATAAATAATTTTTAAAAATAAATTATTTATTTATATAAAAATATATTTTAATTTATTTATATAAAATATATTTTATTTTTATATAAAAAATATTTTTACATATATATATAAGGCACTTACCTACACACAAAAATCCCAGATCTAGATCTTTGAGGTCCAAAACTTTATTTTTTTAACAGAAAATGTGGCAAAAACTACTTCCAAAAATCTGTCACTCTTTTGCTCATGTTATTCTTTAGGGGAAAATTCCATGAAAGGTAAATGACACATTCCTGTTAATACTTAACAAAAGGCAAAAAAATTAAGTGGATATCACTGTGAGCATGAAAGCAGGGAAGGAATACTACAAATTCATTTATCTTTCAGCCTTCCCAACCTCTCACATCTGATTTCCTGGAAAGAAGGTAAGAGACTGAAAGGGAGGCAGAGAAAGTTGCTGGATTGAGTGGTCAACCCAGAGATAGTATAAGGATGGTGAACTGAAACAGGGTTTGGAGGAACAAAATAAGGCATCACAAAAGGAATAAATGAAACCCAAATGTCTATGATTTATAGGATCAACTTCTTTGCCAAAGTAGCCTCAGCATCCAAATGTCAGACTGTGCCATGCAAAATGTGTATTTCACAGAAATAGTAACTATTCTATAAAAACAATTTCATAGCAGAAAGGGATTACTAGCTAGGGTAGGATTATTATAATACTAACTTTTTAAAGATATCCACCATAAGACCAAAAGAAATATATGTAAAAGTAGATATCAACAACTCCATAAAATCCAAAATTTGTGTTTTAATAAAATAAAAGAATTGCAATAGTTAATAGTGATGCTTGTCAGCTGAGCTAGCCATAACTCCAAAGTCAGTATACGCCCCATCCCAGCATCCTTAAAAAAAAAAAAAATCAGGCTCGGTGCCTGTAGTTCAGTGACTAGGGCGCCAGCCACATACACGGAGGCTGGCAGGTTCAAACCTGGCCTAGGCCTGCTAAACAACAATGACAACTACAACACAAGAATAGCTGCACATAGTGGCAGGCACCTGAGGTCCCAGCTACTTGGGAGGCTGAGGAAAGAGAATTGCTTAAGCCCAAGAGTTTGAGGTTACTATGAGCTGTGAAGCCACAGCACTCTACTAAGGTGACATAGTGAGACTCTGTCTCAAAAAAAAAAAATTTAGGGCTTGGTGCCCATAGGTCAGTGGTTAGGGTGCTGGCCACATACACCAGGGCTGGCAGATTCCAACCCAGCCAGGGCCTGCTAAACAATGACTACTACAATAAAAAATAGCCAGTGTACTCCATGATTGCATTAATGTACACAGCTATGATTTAATTTAAAAAATAATAATAATAATAAATCCAGGCATTGTGGCAGGTGCCTGTAGTCCCAGCGACATGGGTGGCTGAGGCAAGAGAATCACTTAAGCCCAAGAGTTTGAGTTTGCTGTGAACTGTGATGCCATAGCACTCTACAAGGGCGACATAGTAAGACTCTGTCTCAAAAAAAAAAAAAAAAATTTAGCCAAGTATGGTAGCACACTCTTGTAGTCTAGCTACTTAGGAGCCTAAGGCAGGGGAATGGCTAACGGCCAGGGGTCAGTGGTTCCACTGAGCTATATGACAGCACTATATTCTCCAGGAACAAATCGAGGCAACGTATCAAAAACAGGCCTTGCACAGAGGTTGTCGCCTGTTATCCTAGCACTCTGGAAGGCCACGGCACATGGATCACTTGAGCTCAGGAGATCCAGACTAGCCTGAGAAAGAGCCAGATCCCATCTCTACTAGAAAATAGAAAAACTAGCTGGGAGTTGTGGCCAGTGACTACTGGGGAGGCTGAGACAAAAGGACCACTTGAGCCCAAGAGTTGAGGTCAACGTGAGCTATGATGACACCAAGGCATTCTACCCAGAGTGACCAAGTGAGACTATCTCAAAAAAACAAACTAACAAAATTAACTCAATAAATTAGCAATGAAAAAGAACTTCCACAACATGGTAAAGGGCATTATGAAAATCCACAACCAACATTATGCTCAATGGTAAAAGAATGAAAACTTTCCCCTCAAGTCAGAAACCAGACGAAGATGCCCATTTTTGTTATTTCTATTAAGCACTGCACTGGAGTTCTTAACAATGCAATTAGGCAAGAAAAAGAGATGATGACATAATCCTATTTACAGAAAATCCTAAAGAATCCACACACAAAAACTCTCAGAGCTAATAAACAAATTCAGCAAAGTTGCAGGGTGTAAGAACAACACAAAAATCAATAGAATTCACATAAAATAATTTAAAATAGTGCCAAAAAAATTTTAGTTGGAATAAATTTATATAAAAAGACTTGTACAAAGAAAATTAGAAAACATTGCTGGGGTAAATTAAAAACAACCTAAATAGGGCTGTGCAAGATGGCTCACATCTGTAATCCTGGCACTCTGGGAAACCAAGGCAAGTGGACTGCCTGAGGTCACAGGTTCCAGACCAGCCTGAGCAAGAGCGAGAACTCTAGGCATTGTGGCAGACACCTATAATCCCAGCTACTTGGGAGGTTAAGGCAAGAAGATTGCTTTAGCCCAAGAGTTTCAGGTTGCTGTGAGCTATCATGCCACAGCACTCTACCAAGGACGACAAGTGAGACTCTGTCTCAAAAAAAAAAAAAAAAAAAACCTAAATAAATGGAAAGACATTCTGTATTCATGGATTAGAAGACTTAAGATGGTAATACTCTCCAAGATGGTCTACAAAATCAATGCAATCCTTATTAAAATATCAACGACCCTAGCCTGAGCCAAGAGCAAGACCCATCTCTACTACAAACAAAAAACTAGCTAGGTGTTGGGACAGGCACTTTTAGTCCCAGCTACTCGGGAGGCTGAGGCAAGAGGCCTACCCAAGCCCAAGAGTTGTGAGCTATGATGACATGACACTCTACCCAGGGCAACAGAGACTCTATCTCAAAAAAATACTAAGTAAAATGAGACAGTGAACTAAGTAATCTACAGTTCTTACATTATTCTGAATTTTTACAATAATCCTGTCTTTTTAGAAAAGAGTAAACCAACAGAGACTAAGCAATTGGTACTTGGAAGAAAAGGGTCTCAAGGATTCAAATCCCAACTCTGCAGACATATCTGTGAGATCTTTATTATTTTACTTCTCCAAATTTTAATTTCCTTAACTGTAAGATTGAAATAGTTTTTGTGAGGGGTTAGATAATAATACTGTGGATACAATGCAATAATATAAAGCCTTTAAAAAAATACAGAGGGTTCTAAAAAAATGCACATTTTAAGAAAGGAAAAAACTGCATTAAAATTTGTAATATGTAATGATAGTTACCTTATATATTGTATTTCTTGTAATTGCAGAATATTCTCTTGAGTATTACAATTTTAATACACTCTCTTCCTTTCTTTAAATGTGTATTTTAAGGAATTTTTTTGGCACCCTTATCCTTATCCTAAAGAATACGTTGTCTGACAAAGTATTTACGGATAATGTGCCTGCAACTTCATTTTCCAATGATTCCACAAAGTCAGTATATATCACATACAGAAAATATGACAAATT